TAATACACTATACTTTTATTTAAAAAATTACTTATCTTCGCTATTTTAAAAACTATTCATGTAACTATGTTTACATAAATATCACACACTCACATAAATATGTTATTGTTTACTTTTACTACTTGGATATGAATTTTAATAGTCTGATACATTTTGCACTCTTTTTAAGAAGGAAATCTAAAATAATAAATATCTGTTACATTTTAGAAGGCAGGACGGAAGGCAAAATTACTAAATGATAGATGCTTGGGATAGGTCACTATTCCATGCAAAAATGATCTCTTTTATATAAATCTTAAATATTAAACAGTATTTTAAGAATGCTTCCAACTTCTTTGCATTAAACAGAAAATAAGACCTTTTTAAGTGAGAATTTATTATTTTATCAAGAAGTTCCATTAAAATTAAGCATTAAATTTTATTATTTTCAAGAATAAGAATTTAAGTTCAAGGTCAAGGATAGCTTAGTTAATTTAAAAAGCATAAGCAAAAGATATTCATCAGCAAGTTCAGAATAAAATCTGAAATTTTTCTTTTTTTAAAAGAGCAGATAAAATGACCTATAGTGGCCATATATACAAAAGAACAAATCAAATGTTCAGATCACTGCATTATCTTAAAAATACAAAACTTTCCATTAAAGTTTGTTCCATCCACATTTTTTCTTACCACACATTTAATCTTTAATCATTAGAATAACTTTTTGCATTAAAATGCAGCTGTACAAGTCAAAGGCACAATGTTAATTTTGTAGGACAAAATATTTGGAGACAGTCAAAAACACAGTCAAACATGCACATCTGTTTATATAAATTAAACAAAATGGGTTAGAGTTGACTGAAGGGTACCCCTTGTATTATCGCGAAGCTGTTTCATTATGGTAACCTGAGTAGTTGAAAGTTATGGAAAAACCCTACTATAACGTAATCGATTGAATTATTCCGGAAAATTTTGAATCATGGAATGTATTGTAAGGGCTTTTGTGGTGTGTGTTGGTTAGGAAGTAATTGTCTTGTTTAGAAAGAAGAATGGCTGAATGTAGTAAGAATAATTTGAAGTTTCTGTAAGATTTGGAACGAAAGGGGAAAAGAGCATTAATTGACCGGTATGCAAATGAAGATTTACTTAGTAACCATTTTCCGGACAGTCTGGAACTATGGAAGATATTTTTTACTCTTATTTTTGTGAATTTATGTGGTGACGCCGATATACGGATTCGAGTTTGGATAATTTTAAGAAGTTTTGGGATGCTGTTAAGTAATTTAGTGACTGAAGACGAAGAAAATTCGGAGAAAGTGTAGAATCGCCCACTGCTTGACGCGTTTTTAAGAATTGCACATATTCGGTCCATGTACATCGACCTATTCACTTTAAAAAAATCCCAAATTGCCAAAATGTCATTGTCCTCCCTTAATTTATCCATGTACACATCGACCATTTTCACTAAAAAGTCAAGAATTGACAAAATCATTCTTCTACTCTGTGAAAAGCGCCAAAAAATAGTGAGTGATGCACTTTAGCCGAAATTTCTAATTAAGAAAAGTGAATATTTGCTTTGTGTAGTACTTAAATGCATAAGAGATTTTTCCTTTTTTATGTTATTTTGTTTGGTTTAAAATGTAGTTTATTGAGATTATGTACTTTTTGTTTGCCTCTACTGTAGAATTGAAACCCCGTAAACTCATTGGACTTTTTAAGTGAACATATATCGATGTGTAGATGGACAAAGTGAAGCGACTGCGGAATGCTAAATTTGTTATAGATTTTTTTTTTAAGTGAAAATAGATCAACGTGTACACGGATAAAGTCAAGGGAGTGTGCAATTCTGTGATGTTTTTTTAAGTGAAGATAGGTTGATGTGTACATGGATACCGAATATGTGCAATTCTTTGTCTTGTTATTTCGGCTTTGTGTAGTGGCGATCAAGCCAAAATAGCATATCAAAGAATTGCATAAACCTGATATCCATGTACCGCCAATTTTCTCCAAACGGTACCTGTAAATATACTTTTACCAACAAAATGTAAAAACCTTTTTTGCATGTATTCTAAATAATAATAATAATTCTATGTTTCAGAGGCTAAGAAAAATACTAGATCCTTATCTAATTCAAAATTAATTGAATAATGGTTAATCTTGGATTATGATAACTTGGCAATTTTTGCACCAACCTGCTACAGCAACCGGCTAGTTTTTGTTTGGACGCCATTTTGTTTTCACAAATAAAGGCTTTTTTTATTTTTTTTTTTTTAACGCAAATTTTTTTCAAAATCTGCTAGCCGAATTACGCTTATGCTAGAACTTTTATTAACAAAGTGCTTAATCAATGAATTGGTGCGAAATTGGAGAAAGTGCAGAACAACTGCTTGCCGTGTTTTTAATTGCACTACACGGTATCCATGTAAACGTCGATCATTTCACTAAAAAACATCCCAGAATTCACAAATGGCATTGCGCACACTCTGACTTTATCAGGACCTGCAAAGTCCTAGGTGTAACCTTTATCGCCTTACCAAATGTCAAACTATACCTGTTACCATATTCCAACGCTTAGGAAAAGTCACATGTTAACCTAAGTCAAACCCGAATTCCTGTAGCAAGGATCGGAAGATGGAGCCTGCCACTGGCAACAGCTTTGAGTACCTTACAGGTGATAGTGGGACTTTGCTCAGTCCTGCCCCCAATTTTGATGAAGAGCGGACAGATCCAAGGATCTCCCACCCCTCTTTCCCTATCAACAACCTCTCGAGAGAGGTTTCAGTTTGCCGCATATTTAGAGTGACCCCATGCTGCACTGACACTATACATTTGCCATTCTCTGGGATTTGAACCCAGGCCCTTTGGTATGGAAGTCAGCGATGCTAAACACTATACCGGTTTGGTAGCTCAATTATGTATAATAACACAATGAGATTTTAGCCCTCCAAATCAAAACAAAATATAATAATTATTTATCATAATATAATTAATTCTAATTTTAATAAGATAATAATATTAGAAATAACTAAATAGAATAACAGTATCTATAATAAGAATTTATTATCATAATTATTAAAAACTTATTAAGAATTTTTTTTTTTTTTTCAGTGTATATTAGTGCACATATATTTTAGTTCAAAGATAAAAAAAAAGATATACAGTATAAAGTCCAAGATCCGGACTCATCAGGATTTTACCGATTCCAGACTTGGGATTTTTCCAGATATTAGATCATCAGTTTAAATCTAGTAAAATGGCATGTAGAAACTAAAAAGTTAAAAATATGAAATCGGGGTTTATGAAATAATGAAGCATTTATGATCTCAAGGGTGTCAAAATTTACAAAAAAAAAAAAAAAAAAGGTTTTTTGTTTACATTTCTTTCAATCTAAGTTGCTTCAACTTTTGAATTATCTACGTACACTGCTAAAGTCCTAGCTAGTAACCTCTATCGCCTTATCAAAATGTCGCCAAACTACCTGTTACCATATTCCAAAGATTAGGCAATAATTTAAGAAGTTGCACTTCCAATGTTGAAATTATGGTATAATTATGAGAGGTAACAAACATATTACTGGCAGAGATTTGTATTTAGGGCTTTTTAGAGAAACTTCTACATGCTTATTTAGTAATTAAAGGTAAAGCACCTGTTTGGAAACATAATATACCTTTCAATTTATTTCATGTAATCTGATAATAACATATCACTTTAATTTTGAAAAATGCAATGTAAAGGTCAGAACAAGGAAAATACTTTGGAAATTCTTAGTTAAATGTATTATTCTTTCTCTAAACAAATAGAAAAATTTTCTAATGACGATTAACCTTTAGGACAGATGAAAGTTATAGAATACAATTTAAGACATCATAATTTTGTTCCAACTTTCGAGCATCTATTACTAATAATAGAAAATAAAAATTACAAGTATCATTAGCATGATTACTTTACGATGGCATACACATAACATTATGGAAAACCAACAAAATTTTACTAAACATATTATACTAACACAATCTAAACACATATACATAATTTACAAGTAATATAATTTTTTCTCATTTACAATAAGAGAAATAAAACCTTTGTAGAAGAATAATTTAAAAAAACATACAGATAACTTCACTTACTGAAAAATAAATCTATCATATAATGAAGAAACTAAAATCTACAATATGATAACATTTTTTAGCAAAAAATATTTTACATATCCTAATATTCATTTGTTTACTCAGCTATATACATAAATAACACATTATTTTGTTTCTAAGAAATCCATTCTTTAAACATAAAATGATTGTATTTAATAAAAGAAAATCTATCTCACCATATACAATCCAAATGGCAGACATAATAAAAGTAACCAAATGTAGAGATGAGCTATATTGCAAAAATGATCCTGACGAGGATCATAAAACCATCCCCCCGTAAACGATGCCCATACTGCTTGACGGAGAATTTCTAAAGTTTGATAACCCATTTCTCATTTCATTACTATTTTCCTAATATTTAGGTCCATGATATTAAGAAATTTGAGGAACCCGAAATAAGACATAAGCGCACTATTCTGCATAAACATTGAACGGGGGAGTATTTTACTGCCATGTTAAATAAATCTCTTTCAGTTTCAGCAGCGTGAAGAGGTGATGCCTATATTTTGTTATAAAATCTTCTTTGAAATTTATGCTGGTGAAACAGTAAATATTGCTTCACAATTTAATTAAATGGGAAGTATAAATATCGTTCTCCATACGAAAGCATGTTTAATATTCATCAGAATTCTAGTTTCCATTAAATAAATTTAATGAAAGAAAAATTTTTAAAAGAGCCAAAGAACTAATTTATATTCAAAATGAATAAATTTCGTAAAACTTGCAAAATTTCAGTAATGTATGATTTTATCAAGCTGTTAAAGAGTTCATTCGATATTCGACTTTCATCCGGTGTTTCGAATGCAAAACTAATGTAAACAACGGTGATCCAGCAGTTGCAACTCTACTCCGTCCATTTAATCCTAGCAATACTAATAATTGTAAACTTGTATGGGGGTGAACGAAGAGGTGTCAGGGTTCTGACTGTGTATTAAGAATGAATGTGGGTAGATTCTTTTTTGCTGCGCCTATCTCACTTTACCTAAATATAATTTTAATTTATGATGTTTAATTCGTTTTTATTATGAAATGTTGTAAGAAGATTCCGAGTTCTTGGTTATTTGTCCTTTGTTTAGGCTTAAGTTTTCAAGTAATGAAATGCAAGATCACTTAAACATTCTGTTGAGCTGATTACTTATCAACGGATGCCAGATTTTATTAAATTTTCCATGGAATCTCTGCATTCTCATGTCATAGAGAATCATGGAATCGGTGATAAAACGAGGCTTTGGACTGCCATTTATGATTACGAAGCATCGGGTGAAGATGAATTATCATTGCATCGGGGTGAACAAGTGGAAGTATTATCAAAAGATTCTAAAATATCTGGAGATGAAGGTTGGTGGACGGGAAAAATTTATGATAAAGTTGGGATATTTCCCAGTAATTTTGTTACTCAACTTGATGTAAACAATGTTCGCCCCGTAGGCAATGATGGTAGACCATTTACTATCAAATTTTCTGAATTGGAACTGGAAGAAGTCATTGGTGTTGGTGGATTTGGGAAAGTTTATAGAGGCTATTGGCGACAACAAGAAGTCGCTGTCAAGGCTGCCAGGCAGGATCCTGATGAAGACATAAGTGTAACCATTGAAAACGTGCGCCAAGAAGCAAAGCTTTTTTGGTTGCTCAATCATCCAAATATAGTTACACTAAAAGGAGTATGCTTAGAAGAGCCAAATTTATGTCTTGTGATGGAATATGCCAAGGGAGGTTCACTGAACAGAGTACTTAGTGGGCGAAAGATTCCACCTAATGTGCTTGTCAGTTGGGCCATTCAGATTGCACGAGGCATGCATTATTTGCATTCAGAAGCTCCAATTTCTCTTATACACAGAGACCTGAAATCGAGTAATGGTAAGAAATTTTATCCCATGTTTATATGGTACTGTGAAATCAATTTTGTATAATGTTCAAGTAGATGCATACATAAGGTTAAAATGTAAATTCTAAGCACAAAATATTCAACTATTCCTTTATTGAGGAATTGATTCTAACATGCATACTACTTTCTGTCAGATGATTAGTGTAGTAATAACATCTTTCTGTCAGATGATTAGTGTAGTAAACATGATACGGTTGATCTTTACAATATGGTAACTGGTAGTTTGGCGACATTTTGGAGGCGATAAAGGTTACTACCTGGGAATTTGGTAATAATGTGAGCAGTACTCAGTTCCGATTACGCATTATTTTGTGTGAGGGAAATGAGAGATCATGGGATATGTCATGTGATATTAATGGACGAATTACGGTTCTTTAATCAGAAAAGGGGGGAAATCGGAAAAAAAATCTGGAAATTTTGTATTTGGCTTTATTCTGTTGTGTGAAACATGTTCGTGAATTTTGGATCCCATGGCCGTAACTAAAGTGAATTCGAAATGGGTATTATTTATGTATTAATTTAATGTATGTGCTCATTTATATTTTAAATAGTGTTTTTGAATTTAATTATATTTTAATTAAATGATAGTTATTTTGTGAATTTATGTTTTGTAGGAATTTGGTACACGTTTAAGTTGAAGTAAACGTGCATGGAAATAATTTTAAATATTTGATACTAAGTATTTGTAATGCTTGTGGTATGAATTCGTTGGTGACGTGTATAATGTAATAGATGATTTAGAGGTAAAGATTTTGGATATTTATTTATTTTATATGTGGAAATGTTCATATTTGGAAAGGGTAAATACTTTTTCGCGATCAGGTAATTTCATATATGTTCTTTTTTACCGGGTTTAAAGATTGAGAAAATTGTCATGTATTTTCGTGAAATTTTTCTAATTTATGAGAAAAAAGCAGTGTACATGGATATAGTGAAGAGTGTGCGCAATGCCATTTTTGTGCAATTCTGGGATGTTTTTTTAAGTAAAAATAAGTCGACGTGTACATGGTTTATGTGTATGTGTTATTTTGAAAAACGCGTAAGGAGTATGGTATTGTGCACTTTTTCCCAATTTTGCAGTGAATATTTGTCATGATTAAGCAGTTTTGTTAGATAAAATTTCTAGCATAAGTGTAATTCGTTATAGTAGATTGTTGGAAGAAGTGTTCAGTAGATAAAAAGAAAAGAAACATGTCTTTACTTCGTGAAGACAAAATGGCGGCGGGAAAAAAAAAAATAGAGGGTTGCTGTAGGAGAGTTGGTCGCCAAACGCCAAGTTACCATAATGTAAAGATCAACCCATGATACCTCATAAAAGTATATTGTTTTTAGTGTTAGAATATTATGGATGCATCAAAATATTGTAAATTATCAAATATTGTATTCTTTGGATATACAGATTCATAAAATAAAGCCTGAATTATGTGATGAAAAACTATGATATAAATCGGTGATGTGCACTTATTAACCAGAACAGCATCATCAGATGATCTTAAAATGAGCAAAATCAATAGAACTTAGGTTAATTAGGTACAAAAATATGTCATTAGTAGTAATGAATAACATGAACACCTTTGTCACTAGTTGTAGAAAAACTGAACTCAATATGCTGTAGTAGAAAGGCCAAATGTAGTTTAATTTGTCAATATTGTAGTCCCTAATCTTTTTAATTAAAAAGACAGCCAGAGGAAGAAAATGTAGTTCATAAAAGTGTATCTTTTAATGTTTTCTTGATTCTTATTAGAGTAAGAAATGAACATGTTTACTTGCCAGTCCTGAAATTTTATGAACTTTAGCATGCGAAAAATGCTGTTTTTTTTTTTTTTTTTTTTTTTTTTTTGGTTGTTGTTGTTTTGTTTTTTATGAAATTGGTTTCTTATTGAAAATGTTTATAAATATCTTTCCAGTTATAAGCATCTTCATCGTGGCCTCCACTTATGTAATTTATAGACAATGTTAGCTTTTCTGTGCCTGTTGGATTCGGGAAGATGAATTCATTTCTTCTAAATTTAAGAAAGTGGTGTAGTGTATTAACTCTATTATTTTTTTATTAAATTCTTTGTATATGAAAAAACTGAAAAACTCCCAGGTTTATCTTTTCCTTTCATAGTTTGTCATGCAAGTAATGATCAACTTGCCAGCAATCCAAAGTCAAGATAGTCTTTTGTCTGTGCTTATCTTAAAGGTACAAATCAATAGTGGGCAGTTGCTTTAAAGTTCAGGAGTTTTCTGTAGACAGCACTGCCTCTTAGTCTGTTTAACAAACAAACAAGTATCATTTCCGCAATATCCTCTGGAGGAGAAGAGATACAAGGGAAGGCTCATTTATGACAAGCTAGTGACAGTACCATTTAAATGACAAACTAGTGACACTACCAGTTAAATATCTAAGATCTCTGTCTTTGGATCTGAGGAAGCTGTGAAGATTAGACATTATGGTATTTGATTGTAAAGTTCGGAAAAATATATTTCAGGGTACCCCTTGGCAAAAATTGGCAATTTTTTTGGCACCATTCTTGTTTACGTTCAATGCCCTCCCAAGTAAAATAGAGTCTAAAATATAATGCAATAAAACATAATTGAAATATAAAGGATTATAATCTCAATAAACCGCACTTTGAATAAAAACAAAACAAGGAAATAAGATAAAAATAAAAATACATGTTATCTAATATGCCCAATATAAAAAGGAAATATAGACTTACCTTATTTAGAAATTTCTTTGTCTTCCGTGTGTCCCACACAGAATTCCTCAACAGCATACAAAAACTGTTTAAAATTATCTGAACTGGAATCTGTATACTACCATCGCCACATAAATTCACAAAAGTATCGGACTGTTGGGGGCATTTCTTTCGAAAATCCCTTTTTTATTACACCCCTCATACCTTCCATAGTTGGGTAAAAGTATAGTTTAGGGTACCCCTTGGCGATACATGGATACCGAGTTTGTGCAATTCTTTGACTCGTTATTTTTGTGCCACAAATCACCGCTACACAAAGCCAAAATAACAAGAAAAACAATTACACAAACTCGGTATCCATGTACACATCAACCTATTTTCACTTTAAAAAAATCCCCGAATTGTACAAAAAATGGCATTGCACACTCTTTTGACTTTATCCATGTACATGTCGACCTATTTTCACTTAAAAAAAAATTCCCCAAATTGCACAAAAATGGCATTACGCATTCCTTTGACTTTATCCATGTACACATCGATCTATTTTCATTTTTAAAAAAATCCCCGAATTGCACAGAAATGGCATTGCACGCTCCTTTGACTTTATCCATGTACATGTCGACCTATTTTCACTTAAAAAAAATTCCCCAAATTGCTCAAAAATGGCATTACGCATTCCTTTGACTTTATCCATGTACACAATCTATTTTCATTTTAAAAAAAATCACAGAATTGCACAAACTTGCATTGTGCACTCCCTTTACTTTGTCCATGTACACATTGATATATTTTCCCTTAAAATGTCAAAAGAGCACCCAATTATACAATATAGGCAAACAAAAAATATGTAATCTCAATTAACAGCATCCAAAAGCTTCCTAAAATTATCTGAAGTGAATCTGTATGTCCGCATCGCCACATAAATTCACAAAAATAAGAGTAAAAAATATCCTGTGTAGTTCCGGACTATTGATAACACTTTTTTTTTAAATCTCTCTTCACCACACTTTTTGATTTTTGAGTCCGCTTCGTACACCCAGAGCCATGTAAAAATCAATCATACTCAAATGACTTTTTTCAAACCAGGTACCCTTTCTGATCGAAAGCTTCACATAGTGACCATCTGAATCTTTCTTCCTACAAACCCATTCAAATCCATCTAAATGGTTTTTACGTTCGACTAGACGCATATCTTTCCTACATACAGGACACTTATAATGGCTACTAAGTAAACATTTACTCAATTAACGCTCTTTTCCCCTTTCGCTCCAAATCGTGCAGAAACTTCAAATTAATCTTACTACATTCAGCCATTCTACAGTCTAAACAATGAAACCAACACACACCACAAAAATGCTAACAAAACATCCCATGATTCAAAATTTCCCAGAATCATACACCCAATTACGTCACAATAGAGTTTCCATAACATTCAACTACTCAGGCTACCATAAATGAAAAACAACTTCGCCATAATACAAGGGATACCATAAAGTTTACTCTAACCCATAATGTTGATATGAGCTCCAGTTTCCGAATCCTTAAATATCTGCAGAATTTACTGAGAGGTGAACAAAGCCATTTAAATCTTTATTTACGTACCTGTCAATCAATGTTTTCTTTCCCATTCATTCTAAAGCATATAGAAACTTCAAGTTAATCATCCCACAAATGGGCATTTTACAGTGTAAAGCAAAATAAGCAACGTATTTCATAACCAACATCCAATGCATAAATAAGCCCTGAGAAATATTGGCTAATCTTTGGAATATGGTAACAGGTAGTTTGCCAACATTTTGGTAAGGCGATAAAGGTTACTAGCTAGGACTTCAGCAATAATCTGAGAAGTACAGAGTTCCAATCACAGATTATTTTGTCTCAGAGAAATGAGAGATCATGTGACATTTATGGACGAATCAGAGTTCTTAAATCCGAAAAGGGGGGAAATTTGCAAGAATATCTGCAGTACTTCATGCCATCTTGTATGTTCAGCTTCATTCCATCTTGTATCTTGTGGGAAACAGTGTTGCTTAATATTTGGATCACATGGGCTTTCTATAGTAAATTCCAAATTTTTATTGCATTTATGTGATCATCCAAAAGAGTTGCTTGAATGGTATGCCTTTGGTTCGTAAAAACAAAATGGCGTCCAAAAAAAAAATAGCAGGTTGCTGTAGCAGGGATGGTCGCCAAGTTACCATAATCCGAAGATTCACCGAAATATTTTCTAAACAATCAACAATCACACATTACAACCAATCACGTCATAATAGGGTTTCCAAAACGTT